AGAACCTCACTTCTTCAGATGCAAGACTGAAGAAGTTGAGGGTTCTTACCCACGAAAGCTTATGCTCCCAATACTTCTGTTAGTCTCAAAGGTGCCACAGGACCCTCTGTTACTGTTTACCCTGTTGCTCCTGGGTTCTGTGGGGTTTGCAGACCATGCTTCCCCCTACTCTGTGAGTCTGCACCCTTTATTCCTTGTGGGAGGACCATGGGGACACTCTGGAAGGGAAATCTCTCAATATGTCCAGATGAAATCTCCCAGCAGAGGGGAACATCGGACCTACAATCCCTTTGTTTATATTACAATATCTGTTGGGTAAGGAATTCCGTATATTCAAGCGCATCCATTCATGCAGCTTCCTGTCACCTCCATCGGTGTCTTTCCCCTTCCTCTCTTATATCAAAATTAGAAATATATGTTACTTTCCAACTTCAGAGTACTTTATAATTAATCACTAGTTCATCATTACAAAAACCATGGCAGGTCACTCCTATCCCATTTTACAGCTCGGGAGACTGAGGCAGAGTTTAAGACATCATCCCTATTTATGGGCCAGATGCTCTTCCCACTGCAGTCAATAACAAAACCTCCATTGCCTTTATTGGTACAGAATTCCGCCCTAGAATAGCTCTTAGGCATTGTGTACAAACCCCACCTGGGCAACAAGGGGTTAAGGTCCTACATTGGACCTAGACAGCCCTACCCTGCCATACCTCTAGGATATGCTCCAACTGGAGGAAGAGTTAAAAGGCTGGGGATCAGCTAATTTGGGGCAGACCAAGGAAGAGAGCAGACTCTCCAGCAGAGAGCAGAAGGAAGGCAGAAATTTCTCCCTAAGCCAGCTGCCCAAAGGTCCCTCCCTGAGGGAAGGGAGGACCTGCCACAGAGACAGCCTGAGAGGGAAGCACTCTCCCCCTTATATGAGCTCTGGACTTTGGTAATTCCCTTAGTTTTTTTGTTTGGGCTACCCCAGCAGGGAAACTAAAGCCCCTTGGACTGAGCTGGCCCAGGAGGGTGGGCCATACCATGGGAGAAGGCAGTTACCACCTGAGAAAGGGAGATACCATGCTGCATGCCACCACCAGAAGGTGCTTTGTGGTGAACTGGCAGCCTTCATGCCGCCTTAGCCCAGACGGTGACTTGGGACAATCGCGGGGGGATGGGGAGGTGGGGAGACAGGAAGTGGCCCAGGGAGAGCAGCCTCTGCTGTCAGATCACTGATAGCCCTCAAAGGGCCTTAGGTCAGAGCCCAGTGAAATCGAGGGTCCGGGCTCCCCTACAAACAACCCCTCTGCAGGTCATGGGCCTTAGCCCTGACCACTAGGTGACACTACCTGACCAACCAACCCCTGAGTGAGGACCATTATAGGCACATATTTAATTTTAAGAATGTGTTTGAACTATTAAGTTAATAGGACTAAAGCTAATGCAAAAGTTAAGCATATAGCTAACTGCTGTCCTAAATAGGGATTGGGTAAGTCCTTTCCTAAGTGATTTGGTCTAGACCCCACAGAGATTCAGAGCTCTTGGACAGGAGTTCCTGGCCCTCACTTCTGTGCTCAGACCATACCACATTTTTTCACTGTACACAGCAAAAGATAATTTATCATTATACACATTATGGAGAAGATCCTCATCTGATGTAAATTGGTGTAGCTCTATTGAAGTTGATGGAACTATGCCAGATTGTGTCAGCTAAGGCTCTGGCTCTGTATTTTTCAGTATTTTATAGTTTAGGAATAAATAGATCTCCTTTTGCTCGAATAAAGGTTATACTTATACATTCTGAATATTGCCTGAGGGACAAATAGATAATAAAATATATGTATCTGCCCATATCACTTACGATTATATAAACCATATAACAACAGAGAGACAGTCATGCTAATACAGTCTGTCACCTACGGAGTGAGCTACCTCTTCAAAGTTCTGTACAAATAGTAATGAATGAAAAGGCACATCTTATTCAAACTTACCACACTGATTAGCTGTGCCAGGGAAACCTGCAATTCTATAGATACCAACTGCGAGGAGTTGACAGCAGGGCGAATTAACTTATTATACCTGGCAGGGCTCAGTAGGTGGTTCATTAGCTTCTCCTCAGCATCTGCCGCGTCGCTTCCTGTAAAACAGCACAGAACAAGATCCCAGAATGAAGAAGAGATTACATTATGAAGCGAGCATTGCAGCACAGAATCCTCACTCAAATGAAATAAGAAAAGCTTTAGATTTTTGAAAGACTCTAATTGAATGTGAAACAGAAAGATCTGGGTTTATTATGAAAGCCCTTTGGGACAAATTCTGGTCTACTGAAGTCAGCTTTGTTGGACAAGGCATAAATCAAGGCAGAATTTACTCCTTTGCTTTTCATGTTAAAACTGGAAACTGTTTCTTCATCACTGCAGCACGAAACCAATAGGTACTCTCTGTGGTATGGTGTGAAATAGAAATTGGAAGTCCTTTTTCATGTTTTAGGAAGAGATTTTTGAAGACACAGAAGACAGATCTCCAATCCCATTTGTGACTTGAAAATCTCCCCTTTGACTGTCCTCGCAGATGAAGGGGAGGAATCCCAGGCACATGTATGGTAGGAAAAGAGAGTGCTATGTATAGGGAAGAGTCTGGAGATAAACTGTAGAAAGGTTTTCAAATGATTAAAGAGCACTATATATTTCTGGTTCTAGACTATTTTGCTGAAGTATAGCAGAACCAAAAGCACTATCCTAGACTTGGGCCTTTGGACACTTGGAAACAAAAACTGAGCTATGGAGTAGCCATAATATTAACACTTTAAAATTCTAGGTGACCAATTATTTAAGTGACTGTAAAATATAACATCCTAGGGATTCCAGGTTATCAAGCAACCCAGAACATTTTCTATTAGTTGATGTAGTCTATGGCACAACTCCAGAGATAATGAAATCTGTTATTAGGCTCTTGCATATGTTCTCCAAGCTCCCAGTGTTGTCCTCTGCAAACTACTGTTGACAACATAATAGATTAAGAGGCAAATTCTGCTTTTAGTTACACAAGTGTAAATCTGGAGAAATTCCATTGACTTCAGTGGTATAATTCTGAGCAGAATTTGGACCTAAAAGATCAACATTGTTGCTGTTATAGACCCAGCAGCTTCCCATAGGGATACACATCCTCTACAGGAAGCAGGCAATTTATATAAGGGCTAGATTCTTTTCCTAGTTACAGAGTAACTCTGTTGAACTGGTGTGACTCCACTGACTGATGTAAATGGAGTTACTTTCTAATTTATACTGGTGTGAATGAGAAGACATTCTGGTCCAGGGGATAGAAATATCAGTAATGTAAATATCTTCTCCCCTTCCAAATAAGCAAGTAACTCTATCCCCAAAAAAATCTGGGGAGAGGGGGAGATAATCTGACCCTGAGTAATATTTCTCCCATTTACACCCTCTTCACCCCCATTTCCAATATTCCTAAAAACATTGTCATTGCAAAGCAGTTATGTGCAGTAAAAACCATTAAGCATTACAAATATTTCACATTTATAATACATTAGGGTAGCATGTTCAATACACAGTAGTATGTCAGTAAAACCCAAAGAGGACCAGACATCAGAAAGCTTGTATCCAATAATCTTCTAAGTGGTTGAGTTGCTTATATCTGAAGAGTTGCTTAATTTGACCTAGAATTGGGCTAAAATCTCTTGAGAACAGGCTTTCTCTTGAGAATCCTGGTATGTTTGGATTATGCCGAGGTTAGAAATGCTACAAGAAGAGCCTTTCAGCATTTCTGCTTCTGATTTAAATGGGGAAAATGTAGGATATAGTCAACCAAACACTTTCACATCTAAGAGCAGGATCTATTAAAGCTTTCAGGAGAGGTTGAGGTGAATATTAGCGTTGCTCATTCCCTTAAGAACCAGCATCTAACAAGGCATTGATGGCGTAGCAAATTTACACAATGCATGACAGAAATGTATGCCATCTCTCTCTGCAAATATGTCCATGGCGCACATTCACTAGCTTAACCTCACACCTTTAATTAGTTTACTGATGTTTCCATGGGAGAAGATGTGATATAGAACAAGCAGTGATCAGTGCCTGTGTTTGAAAAGATGAAGCTAAGCAAAACGCAAAGTATTCGCTTTGCATATTTTCCACTGTGAAAAGAGAGAGATTTGTGAAATTTTACAAAAGCAAAAACTGCAGAAATGTCAACATCCTATGCTCACAACATTCTTTTTGCCAGTTAAAAAAAAAATTATTCAGATCCAACCTGATTAGCATTGACCCAAAGAGGAAAAATCTCTGGTAAGCCATTAGTCTTCTAGGGCCGTGTTTTTTCCATGCCTCAGATCCTACTTTGCCAGTCTGGTGGGTCACTCACACCCAAATGGGGTTGATAGAGTGGTGTATGATATCTTTTCAGCCAGCAGACTGCCTAAGATGACATTGCAGTCTCAAACATTGGAATTCCCAACAGTCAATGGTGTTGACAGCAACGAGGTGTTTCATACAGGCACTACATTTTTCACTCTCTAAAAATCCAGTGAAAAGTTGGTGTCTTCATCAAGTAGGATTTTTTTTCCACAGAGCCCTAAGAAAAAGAAATTATACCTCCTTTGGTGATTTGTGTAGCCTCTGGTGATTTAAAGGTGTAATAGCTATAAAAAGACAAGATGCCAAATTATCTTCACATTTATGTTGTTGCTACCACATTGAGGATGTACCATTGTAAGTGAGAGGACAGTTTGGCTCATGGGACATGTAGATATGTAAGTTAGGGCTCACATATGGGCCATGGATTTGACACAGTAGTCACTACAATCTGGTGATGGGGCGTTCAAGAGCCAACTTGAGTATCCCATATACAGCGTGTTAACAATGTGGACAATTTATTAATCTTTATATTGGGCTCACAGTATGCCTGAACTAGGAATTCCATATAAGAACACTTTTGAACATGTCCATTTGGTTAGGAGAACCAGCTTAGACCTGAATTCAAGGCAGATGCAATATACTGCATAGGATCTTCAAGATCATTGAAAAAAAGTGGAGATTTCCCCTACCCTTTAGAAAAAGCTCTGCTTGTCATTTAACATCTTGCTTACTTTATGAACTAGAAGTGCCACTTTAAGATGATGTCTGTTGCAATAACCACTCAGTGTGTGTTCTGTAGCTCTCCAGCTCTGAAAATACTGTCATAACAAGAGACAACCATGTGATCAGTTACCAAACGTGATCAAAATAATTCAGACTGAATTGCTCAGGTCAAGAACTTCTAGACAAGTAGCAGCCAGGTGGGAAAAGATTTTTATTTACTGTTGAGTTATTACTCTGTATGTCATGGTATCCATTTCTACAGAAATGTATAGAATAAGAGTAACAGTAATTCAAAATGTTTCACAAGACCTCATTATCTAATGCAGATGGTAAAAAGCTGAGTTAGCAGTTCATTCCTGTGTCTGTCTCTTTAGTCTCAGTCACAGCAGCAACAGTAACAAATGCAAGCCCTATACTATTTCACCAAAATGGAAAATTGAAAACATACATCAAAATCGTTAGCATGCTGCCCTTTCATCCGTTACTCCAGTGCATGCTGGGACAGCTTCAAATGGGTACGGAAAAGGTGTGACTTGTTCTCATCCAGAAGAGCCTTGATGTTCCACTGCTGTTCTTAAGGAACTCAGATTATAACATGCAATAGTAAAGCCGTTTTTTCTTGTTCATTACTATTAATGAACTATTACATATAACATCACCTCTTTGGCAACAAACCACAATTCTCTCCTTTCTTCTTGTGGAAGTGATGGGCCGCTCCCACTGGTGTTTCTCTTCCCTAGGGCTGAGTTACATATTCTGGCAATTGACTGCTTTCTGGGTAGACACAGAATAATAAAGTTAATGAAGAAGATGATGATGATTATACCTAGCCTTTCTACAGCACGTTTCAGTTGAGTGAAACTCCCATTGATTTCAGTGAGAACTGCACTGAAATGACACACTCAAGGTCAAAGAGTGAGTCAGTAACAGAACAAAAGCCAACATACTATCTGGAATTAGGCGCATGATCCTTGACATCCTTCCACCCACTCTTACCCATGTCACCTCTAACCCCTAGCTCATGCTCCAGCTTGGGAATTGTAATTGTAATTGTACAGAAAAGTATCATTTTCTTCTTTTGAATGTCAAAAAGTTTGTTCAGTTTGCCTCCTTTCCTCATTATTAATAGCTGCCTGTTCCTAGCTGCTGATATTCACAAAGCCCTGCAGTGAAAAATTCCACCAAGTTTATTGTACTGTGATTAATTTCACAGCTGGGATGCTTTTAGGGTAATTTTTCTGTTATGCAAATGTTGTGTTTGGTGTTTTTTTCTAATATGTTATGGACATGAAAGGCCAGGTTGTGCCCTTCAGTAAGGCCCCTGATCTTCTCTGACACTACAACAGAGCTGTAAAGCTGCACTAAACTGGCAGCTGAAATTTCTCTGAAATAGAAGAGTCCTCAGCTAGTTTAACTGCCTTTGCATCTGCCGCCCCAGACTGTCAGCTGGTGTATGGGGTGGGCTCAGAATATGTGGCTAGAGTGCCGATTCTCCAGTGATCCCCAGCCAGTGTAATTTAGACTGCTCTAAGCTACCCCAGGGCCAGACTGGTCCCTAGCTGCCCCAGCAATTGGTAAGCACAATGGCTTTAAGCCAACCTTGCTCCCTTTCCTCATTCTCTGCTCTGGAGCTGCTGAGGATCTAACCCAAAGAATATAGCATTCTCTATTACCTTATGCCTAGAATTGCCACTCAGTGAGGTTTTGTAATGAGACAGAAAACCAACTTGTGTTACTACAAGTTCAGAAAGGGAAGCTCTTTCAGTGACACCATTCAGATTTTTCCATCCTGAGACTCATTTGAGAGTCACAAAGCACTTAGCTAGCTTTTCTTTTTTTATATTCTATGAAGTTGGTGAAAATCAGTTCAAATACATCAGTGGGATTTAAGTGCATATTTAAACTAAGCATGCATTTGAGTGTTTTGCTGAATCAGCATCTCAATCCTGACCTACAGCACCCTTGCTGCCTCTGTCCAGGGCCTCTCTTAATCAAAGACTGTCAATTGTGTGGTGGATACATGGTAGAAGACTGCCACATTTATTTTAAACAGTCATGGCTTGAATCCGGGGCTCTATTCCTGAAATACACTAACCTACCGATGCTAAAGTATATTGGCATCAGCCATAAAGACTGTGGGCTTTTGGTCCATCAGAAGCAGCAGGGCAGCATGGATAGATTATAATGAAGCTGTTCTATTTCCTATGAATCCAAGCAACTCTAATATGTTACAGTGGAGGCTGTCTCTTTGTGCCAGATGACCTTCTCCCATTGACATCAGTGGTGCAGGATTGCACCAGAATACTGTACAAAGTGGATGTTTTATGTTGCAACTTTTGTTATTTCCTCATATGCTCCAGAAAGAGAATTGTAATGTCCACATTTGAAACCACTATTCAAATATAACACTCCTGATCACTTCCTTCTCACAAGCCTTTCTGTGAGCATTGATTTTTAAACAAACTTCAGTTAGAATATCTTGAAACCTGTGTTTTCTTTCTCCCATGTGGGGGATCTATTTAATAATGGTTCTTATGTGATGAACCACCAGAAAAAATAAGTAACTGTAGCTCTGCACATCAGAACAGACTCCACAAAAATGTTCCAAACTATTTGAAAAGTTTTTCACACCAATGCTTCTGGGTGGCTGTTTTTGTTCTGTTTTCAGTCAAAAACCATAGTACCATATGAGATTTTAATAGCATATTCATACTAGCTGTGGCATTTCTAAATCCAAATCTGCCTCATCAAAAGGCCTAACAAGATAGAATTGTGCTGATCCATGCTGAACTCTGGGCTTGCTTTCTTTTCTTTTCTATTATATCTTCTCACTAATGTAGAGTAAAAATATCTATATAGTGAAGAAACTGAGAAATACTACAGACCCAGTGATTAATTTTAATTGTGTGTTTATTAGAGGTGATGTCTTGAGGTGGTTGAAAAGAGTATCTCTGTTTAAACACAAAGATAATGTTTTAAAATCAGTGAGGTAACTTCGATGTATAAATAGTCTCAGCAACAAACCCAGTGCTCTAGCTTCTTTGCATAAGAAAGCCAGATAGAAATGGAGTGCAGTTTGGTATGAATTAAATGGAGCTGAGTGACCTCTGCTAACATTTCAGTGCTTATATCTTTGTTAATTCACGATATTAGGGTTTACACCCGTCTGAGATTATTCTAGCAAATGAGTTTACTCCCTGCAATATCTGTTCGAATGGCCAATGGTAAATGAATACTGCAGAATATTTGCAGAAGGTGAATTTTGAATTTGTGTTCATGAGTATTCTCCATTGGAAATCTGATTCTAAACCTCATCTGCTTCCAAGTAGGAAATCAAAACATCCCATGGGACTTGAGTCCAATCAGAACAGCTCATATTTGGAATATCAAATATTTGCAATGAATTGTTCACAAATAAGTTACAGGCTAAGAATTATTTTGAGAAATTCTTATGCAAATATTTTCAAATAATCAGTACGTTTAAGAAACTATCCTTGCTCCTGGGCAAGTCACAAGCAAGTAACGAGAAGGAACTTTTTGAATAAATGATTCTTATGAATTATCCGTTCACGTCTAGCTTTAAATGACAATTCATCATCATTCAGATGCACAGATAGGATGCCACTAGATGTCACCAGTGCATTGACTTAAAGATTCCAGGATCAAACTGTCTGCAAATAGTGTCTAAAAATTATTTTTGTTCCTGAGCTGTTTTTATAATCTACTTTCTGTTTGCCAAACTACATATTAATTAGATGGCGCCTAATGAAAACAAAGTAGCCAAGTGGACAAGGTCCTATATATTTCACAATGTCCGTGGCAATGTATTTCAAACCTTGTTTTTTTTAAGTGCTTCTTTCCTTGACAAAATGTTTTCCAAATGGCAGTAACCAACAAAAATGTTGCATTTGAGTAGACAGATGCTTTTGGACAAACGATTGTAACAAGAATAATCAAGTAGCTCTAATTAGGAGGTGGACATATTTTTTTCACATACTGAAAACAGAAATGGAAAAAACAGCTAGGGCCAGATCCTCAGCTGGTGTAAATTGTCATAACAGCAGTGGACACGCAACAGTACAATGAAATAAAACCCAAACTGGTATGTAATTTACAATATACCTTTCAGCTGCAACGTTTTTTCCCACAGCTCATTTGCTACGACAAATTCCTTCCATGATATTTTGCATTTCATACTAAAAGAAACAAAAATCATACGTTTTATTAAAGCATCAGTGTAAAGTTTCTCTTTTACACAATCTAGTAATAAGAATGCAAAATTAGATTGAAATAGCTACTCACCACCTTCAACAGCTGGTCACTTTGAGAACATGACAACAAACATGTCAGATCGATTTCAACAGAATGAAGTAAGGAGTAAAGTTGGTAGCTACAGTTGAGTGCCCTGTGAACACCTTCTAAACTGCAAAACTAAACATAAATCACATTTCCTTTGTTTTCCTGACTTTTAAGACCTTTTAACAAATGTTGAGTCGTGTTTAGAAATGGCATGTTGTTCCACGTGTAGAGTAACTTCTTTTGTTTTTCTTGCCTTCCCCCTGCAAAATGACTAAATGGACCATGGTAACTTGCCAGATTCTCTCCTACTGTCAGGGAAGAGAAATAAGAATGTTCCATTGTCTCCTCGTACATTATTTACTGACATTGTTATTACTTCTCAAAATATTCTATGTAAAATTATTTATTTATGTAAAAGCCATTGCTGTTGCAATATGCTGAATTATAGTGTGGTATAGTATTAATGCTGGTTGTTCCAATATAGAGTAGCATCTAATGGAGCCTCATTTTAAAGTTTGTTTTAATTTCCAATAAAAAATTAATGCAAAGCAATAGCAAACATTTACAGGGATCAAAGCTTGTCTTAATTTCTTTTTCTGTTAAATCTAAACTAGGCCTCTTCAAATATTATGTTTCAAAACAGATTTTTTTTTAAAACTACATTTTACGAATAAAGTAAGAAAATGCTGGGTGCAGAAATAACAAGGATCATAAGGGAAGGTTAGTCATTTGGGAAGCAGACTTTCATATCTACCACCACCACTAAACTAATGCTCTTGCCTGATTTTTGTGTATGTCTGTGTGTTGGCTAAATTCTGTATATAAAAATATGGGTAGGCTATAGTAAATGTTCTTAATATAAGATTGAACATGTTAACATATATTTACATATACTTAATTGAAACAGTATTTAAATACTATTAATCAAGTACTTTGGGGAAAAAACTAATCAGAAAGCATAAGGAAATATTTGCCTTGTAATTGTAGAATCAGGTGTGGGATACATTATTTTAAGCCACGCTTCTCTCTTTACTATTCGCAGTCACTCTAAACACATCCCCATCACTATCACAGATGATCCAGGCAGCATCTACAAGAATATTCTTCCGTGATCATAGTTTCCTACTGACTTTGGCTTTTATTGAGTTATGTTAAATCCAGGTTACCATTGCTACATCCTGGTTTCATTAATACCACACAAGATAAAAACAGCACTAAAATATCAGATTTAATGCATCTTTCTAAAGACTGTAAACTATCCCCCTGGAAGTTAGAGACATTTTTAAATCAATAACCCCATTGCTCCCTCCTCTTCCCTGAATGTCACAATTGTTCTACAAACTCTATCCAAAAAGACACTCACCGTTAAAAGAAAAAGAAACCACTACAAAGAGAAAGAACCTGTGTGTATTCCTCATGGCAATAACAAGAGGATGTGAATTACTATTCTTCAGTCGAGACTGCTGAGGATAGGCGCAGCTGTCCGTGTTGCACAGGCATGAGAGATAAAAGCAAACCTGAGCCTTGGAGATATTAAATCGCTGGAAAGAGACAGACAGTAGGACCCAGCAGATCTGATCTGCAAAGTGGAGTTTTCATGAGCATGGGGATCCCTCCCCCTTTGCAGTTGTTTAAAGAACCAGAGCAAGAGTAAAAGCATGTGAAAAGAAGAAACATAATGTGCTAATAGGAAATAAGCAAGAGGGGAGTATAAAAGCCAGTAAATAAACAAGGTCTGTAATATATAAGAGCAAGAATTATGCGTTTGTCTAACATTTAAATGGCTTTCTCATTAGTGGATGCATTGGAGCCGGCAGGGATGGCTGGCTGGGAATGAGCTAGCGATAACTGTTTGTGTTCCAGAAGCCCAGCTAATGAAACTCACATAAGTGAATTATGGTCCAAATATTAGGATCACTTTTTGTATTAGTGGAAAGGTTGGTGGTGGATGAACAAATTTTCCACTATTTCCTCTCCAAAACCCAGACTGTATGTGGTCTGTTTTCAGCTAGAGCTCTGAAAGCCCAAGGAAGTTGCAGGAGGAACATGGTGAATTCATTGTGATTAACATTAATAGGATTTTAAAAGGGAGGCTAAATCAGCCCAGTGAGAAATAATAGTACCAATAATAAAGACACTGTTGAGAGGTAGTAGGGGAAGTCAGAGAACTCTGTGCCTGTCATTGTTACTGTTTGGAGAGTTCACATCCGGTAACAGTATATGAAGGGTAGAAAATGTTATGTATTGTGGGATATACAGTGAAGAGTCATGAATCAGGGAGTGGGGGAAGGAGAGCTTGCCTACCCTTTAAGGCCAGAGAGAATGAATGATAGATTATTGCTCTCTAATTACTGCCCAGAAGGCGAAATGTATTGCCCAATCACTGTGCCTCTTAATCTATTTTAATTGCTGAACTTCTTACATGTATAGAAGGTAACTCTGTCCACAGTCTGATTTTTACTGTCTTCTTTATTGGTATCTTAAAGTTTGTATAAGGAGCTTTGAGGATAAAAAGCTCTATGTATATACCAAGAATTACTGTTGTGTTAATGTCCATATCCTCCAAAAGTAAGTAGTCACTTGTAATGCGTGTTTCCTCTTATCTAGATCCTCACCTATGCCTTGGTAATTTGTTGTTATTTATATTACGGTAATGTCAAGAGGCCAAATCAGGGATCACATTACGCTATGTGCTGTGCACTGTAATAAGTTATTATATCACTCTCGTTACTTTCTGTCTCCTTTTTGTTCCCTGTATGTTGTATCTAAGTTTAACTGATTTGAGCAGGAGTTAGTAAATGCAATTTGTGCTTCAAAAACACTGTAGGAATTTTAGAGAAGGAGACTGAGAAGAGAGAGGCAGGATGGAGGATCTGTGAATTTATCTATATCTGAGTGGATAAAAAAGCCACTGCAAGCCAAGTGATTGCATTTTAATCCTACTTATTGCAATCAAAATATAACACTGTCCTTGCCCCTTTCCTGCAGCCTTCAATTAAGCTCTTCCTTACAGTTCTAGATGTTATTTCCACCAGAAGACCAGCCCTTTGTGCAAGTTGTAACCCATACCATATGTCCCAAATGGATTTCTCATACTGTACCCCTCCACTTCACACTACCTATCAAAACATGCATTCAGACTGGTATATTTTATTGTTCTGTGTGTCAAAGGCTGTGTTAGAGGCCTGTGAATCATATGGCCACAGAGGTTCCTACATCTCTGATCTTATCTGGCAATCAATGCTTTAGTAATATTTAGGAAACTGTGCTCAGGACAGCTGTCAGCCTTGCCATTCTCTTCAGCTTTTGAGGTTGTAGTGGAGCAAAGTGTCACTCTGCTGGGAGAAAAACGCAAATGTTTGTTTTATTTTTATCCTCTCTGCTTCTGGCCCTCTTCTCCCTAAAGGAAAGACCTCCATCTGCCAACTGAATATAGCTCTGGGCTTTGGCAGCAGTCGTATTAGTAATGGATTTATGGAGCCTAGAGTCATCTTGCACAATCTCTGCACCTATATCCTTCTTGCAGACAGTTCACTCAGAATATTATATTACTTCATTGGTTTATGTGGTACCACAGAGTGGGCAATCTGTGCTGAACAATTAACAGGTCCATGTTGTGAAGAGCTTACAGTCTAAAGCCATGAGAAGGCAGAGGACATATCAGAACAAACAGAGAGTAGATATGGCCATGCTAGCTCGAATACTTCAGAGTGGGTGGGCCAGAATAGGGTGAATGTGAGTGGTCCAGAGTAGCCGAAGGATTCCTAGTCTCTCACTGACTGTGCTACTGCTCCATAGCTGGCGGAGCTGGAATCAGATAAGGAAAGCAGAGAACAGGCAGACAGATTCTCTTCTGTTGTGTTTTGTTCCTTACTTTGCCATTAACATCTTGTGTGACCCTGAGGACAAGTCATTCAAACTCTCTGTGCATCATTTTAGCCATATGTACGTTGATTCCCCACCGGGATGTTGTGGGGCTTTAGTAGTGTGTATTGAGCCTTGAGATCCTGAGATGAAAGGCTTTTCTACCAGACATTTTAGTATCCAGTATTGTGGAGTCACATACTAATGTTCTGCACAAGCAGTGAAGATGTGAGGGAACAAATCTATCCATTTAATTGACCTAACTCTAGAGATCGGACCTGCATTCTTTCCACCCCCAAAACTTCTTTTGATTTCAGTGGGCAGTTTGAGTACATAAGGAATTCAGGATCACAATGTGCCCAAGAAATGAGCAGGTGACCTTGGCAGATTTAGCACTGTGTTTTCATGCTGCCACTTGCATTACTTAAGAACCAGCCACAGATACTGAAGCTAGACTAATGAGACTGGTACAGGCAGGGCTTTGGAGCTGTGCTCTGGCTCCAAAAAAAATCTGCAGCACCACTGCTCTGGAGCTGCTCCGCACTCCAGCTCCGGGCTCCGCTCCAAAGCCCTGGGTACAGGTACAAGAAGAACACTGCAAAATGAAATTGCTTCTAAGTGGAAAAAAACGCCATTTCCCTCAAGTAGTCATAATGTTGAACTGAAATTTAGGTTTTAGTGTGTGGTTAAAGTGAATTGAAGAGAAACTTCAGATCGGCTTGGTAAATATTGAACTAGCAAAATGGCTATCACTTTACTGCTGAAAATTGCTCCAGAAAAATGTCTAATGGGAAAGTAAATATATCAATATTTGCATTTCTGTAGCACCTTCCATCTGAGTGAACATTAATGAATTAATTAAACCGGGGTCATGGCTCATCTAATCAAAGTCAAGGGATGTTTTCCTCAGCTCTGTGTTCCAGTGGAGAATGGAATCACTCACAAGTGACTCATCTTCTGCAAACCTGCAATAGCATGATGATGACTGGATAAAATGATATAAATGAGCTCATTATAAAAAGACTATTGAGACAAAGGCTCTTTCGAGTCTGGAAGGGTTTTTTTGCACAAATGTAGCTACTCGGGTGCAAATCCCTATTAAAGATGTGCTATACTTAGTATAAGGTTCAACTTGCACTTGAGCAACTCATTTTGTAAATTACTGGAGTAAATTGCACTGGTGTAAGCTGCATTTTGCATTGGTGCAATGTGTCTACATGTGGGGTTTGCCTGGGTGGAACTGCATTGGTGAAGTTTCCCTAGTCTAGAGAAGCCCTCATACAATACAGGTCATTAACAGGAAATAATAGGATTGGTGTAGTCTTCTGGAATCTGGTGCAGAGTAATCTGGCATGGTGTGGAACTGAAAACACTTTTTCTGATTAGCAGTAGCAATTTCTATTGACAGACTAACCTGATGCCAATGTTTTTCATCTGTAATGCTGGACCTTCTCTGTGTGTAAAATCAGACACCGTGAATCTACCTCTTGTGACATCTCTATAAATGTGTTTGGATCACATTATTAATCCAAATGGTGTCTGACTAAAATGTTTAGATAATTACAATAAGCTTTCTTCAGACACTCCAGAAGGCTGGAAAAAGGCAAATATAGTGCCCATCTATAAAAAGGGAAATAAGGACAACCCGGGGAATTACAGACCAGTCAGCTTAACTTCTGTACCCGGAAAGATAATGGAGCAAATAATTAAGAAACTGATTTGCAAACACCTAGAAGATAATGAGGTGATAAGTAACAGTCAGCATAGATTTGTCAAGAACAGATCATGTCAAACCAACCTGATAGCTTTCTTTGACAGGGTAACAAGCCTTGTGGATGGGGGAAGCGATGGATGTGGTATATCTTGACTTTACTAAGGTTTTTGATACTGTCTTGCCTGACCTTCTCATAAACGAATCAGGGAAATACAACCTAGATGGAGCTACTATAAGGTGGGTGCATAACTGGTTGGAAAATTGTTCCCAGAGAGTAGTTATCAGTGGTTCACAGTCATGCTGGAAGGGCATAACGAGTGGGGTCCCGCAGGGATCGGTTCTGGGTCCAGTTCTGTTCGATATCTGCATCAATGATTTAGATAATGGCATAGAGAGTATACTTATACAGTTTGCAGATGATACCAAGCTGGGAGGGGTTGCAAGTGCTTTGGAGGATAGGATTAAAATTCAAAATGATATGGGCAAACTGGAGAAACGATCTGAAGTAAATAGGATGAAATTCAATAAGGACAAATGCAAAGTACTCCACTTAGGAAGGAACAATCAGTTGCACACATACAAAATAGGAAATGACTGCCTAGGAAGGAGTACTGCAGAAAGGGATCTGGGGGTCATAGTGGATCACAAGCTAAATATAAGTCATGTATCACTGTTGCAAAAAAAAGCAAACATCATTCTGGGACGTATTAGCAGGAGTATTATAAGCAAGACATGAGAAGTAATTCTTCTGCTGTACTCCACACTGATTAGGCCTCAACTGGAGTATTGTGTCCACTTCTGGGTGCCACATTTCAGGAAAGATGTGGACAAATTGGAGAATGTCCAAAGAAGAGCAACAAAAATGATTAAAGGTCTAGAAAACATGATCTATGAGGGAAGATTGAAAAAATTGGG